GATGGGTCTTTCTGCCATCAAGCAGCAAAGTGCAAACTTGGTTAATTTGAGTCCCACACTTGACAAGATCAGCTCCATTACTTAAGCTTTCACTTGAAATTATTAATTTGACCGAATCTATAAGTGATTTTTGTGTTTAGTTGCAACTTACGAGTGATTAAAATACTTCACGACGTCTTTCGTTTTATTGTTCGAACCGGTGAGCCTAATTGATCCACTGAGCGCTGTAGTCTTGACCCCTTGAGGATGATCATTTTTAATCACTCGAGATCATGTGGTGTAGTTTATGATGCTTATTTTCTTCTTCTTTAATACGGTTGCATTTTCATGTGAATTTACACACTCGAGGGTACAAGAGTTGAATTTAGATCAGTGAGAGATGATAAACACCAGCTGCGCACCTAGGTGTAGCATCTGCAGAGTGCAGGGGGAGTTATTCTCACTTTTTCGCACCTAATACAATCTACAATATTTAAATGAAAAGACGACGAGGTTCTGTCGTCATATCATGGTTAGAACGTAAAGTATAGAGATCTTGATTGGAAAAAAAAAAACTCTGTGCGTATTACGTAACAAATCTAGATGCATGGTTACTATTTATGGCGAAAGTTGAAAAACATCACGTGTATTTGTTGCGTTAGAAACTGCCTCTCAAATTTCATTTACATTAGTTCCATCGTAACTTTTCTGTACCTAGCTGCAACAGAAATATTTAACCGCTACAGCTATTAATAAACCGAGTGAACGTGGCCGAAATACTGCAAGCAACTATTACTGCTCCCAAGCCGCTCACATTGCCTATCGGGATATCGAAGGCGAACTGGTCGGAACGCGTGTGAAAGGAAGGGCTTGGATGACTAGGCGCATAAGTGCAGTTTTTTTAAAAAGTTTAGATATTAATGTTCTCAAGTATGATTAGTCTTGATGCATATTGCATATCCTATGAAAAATTCGCTCCCAAATTATAATATTTAAGCATCAAAAAGTCAGTTTGAGCTTTCTTTCCACCATAGGAATCCATGCAATTTCGAAATTTCAAACACGTATTTCTCGAAACGGCAAAAACTACACTTATGCGTCTTGTCCTCCAAGCCTCTCAAATAATGTGAGTGGACCTACTGCCATAGAGAGATCCTCAAATTATGATCACCTCCTTACTTTTTAGGTGTCAGTCCACCCTTGTTGAGAATATAACCTTTCATGTAAACTTTGATTAATTCATTTAGAGCTTAGCCTTTGACACTTTACGAGGATTCGCTGTTTAACCCCTTTTCCCCCGCAATTTTCGGTTTGCTTGTCATGATGCTCAAATGCTCAATGATTTCACAACCACGATATTTTTACACCAAAACAGTCAACCGACATTTAAATCATATTACAGTTCATACGAGAAAATTTTTTTCTCCGTGTATTTATGATAACGTCTAGATTCGTTTTAATATTCCTAACCCTTCCTCTCCTAAACATCCGCTAGGGGTTACAACCTTACTTCAGAAAGATCAACAAGTCTTCTAATGATCATTTACAGCCTTTAGATCACGGCTGTTCCGGCGCAGTCGAAGAGCAAGGTCCGGTTGAATCAAAAGTTTATGGGCGGGAGTAAATGCCGAAGACAGGAGGCAGACAATCTCCAACTAATTCGGTTTTATTGTTTGCACGACTCGAGGGAACTTCCCTCCGTTGCCAGCACTCATTAATCGCGATCGAAGGTATCACAAACTTCCTTTGTTTATCCGATGCGCTTGGCGTATGCACCTAAACAAATGCACTTTTACCATTAGTACAGGTGCAGTGTTGCGGGAGTGGCGATAAAATCCTTGATATTGGATCTCGACGGAAGGAAGGACTTGACAGGAATTCGGCACCTGATTTGGCAGCCCGGTGGCTTGTTTTATCGTTTTACGGTAGACACTGCAATCCACATAGAGCACGATCCAAGTAGGTAATGTATGTAAATTAACGGAACTTCCTCATCGTTGCCGGGTCAAACGAAAATGGAGACCGGAACTGTGGCTCGCAAATTCCAAGACTGCTACAAAATGTTTATTATTTTACTCTATATAAAGCTGCCGTTACCACTCACTCTGCCCCCCCTAGATAAAAAAAGAGATGAACACTATCCTCTTGGTGCATCCGTCTCTTCAGGCAAGTGTAAATCTTCCAGACAAAATTTTGGGGGAGCTTTGAGAATTTGATGGGGTGCCACTGCTAAAAGAATATAAAAATAGTCGATTCCGATGAGAAGTAATAAATTGCTCGGTTTTCATCAGAAATATTTTTGGAATGACACCTACGAGAAGGGGCAACTTGTAAAACAATTTTTTTTAGAACATTCTTTCTGAAAATGTTTTGAAAATAATACGTTCCATTTTTTCCTCGTGGAAGAACACATCTACCTAGATGTTACAACCGAGTGTAAAACTAAACTGATGGTATTTGGTAATAAAGCAGAATTATGACACATTGAAACGTTCAAATCATTGGCATGCAATTTGAAGGCGAAGAAGGGGAAGGAAGGTGTTCATACTGCCGTGCTAAGGAAGAACGCCGTATGAACATTCAAGAGTTGTCAAATTTCCCTCGATAAAACATGTATTTTTGACAATATTCATACATATTTTTCCTTAAAATTTTCAGATATTTTATAATAAATTGTGTACAAAATTTTCTGAAAATATTGGCAAATAATATTCACAATTTTCCCAGTAATTTCGGTTTTTATTAGAGGAAATCGGCAACGTGTGAAGGCTCATACGGCGTTCTTCCTTAGCACGGCAGTATATTGAGCCGTCACGGCCCTGTAAAATACCGACGAGGAGCGCACGAAGCGATTTCGGGGAAATTTTCTCAAGAAACTCCTGAAAGGTTAACGACACATCCCAACAATTTGATGGTCGAACTGAACAGGCCCTCGACTGATCCATGTATCGGTGATTTTATCATCGAATATTCTGGCGTGGTAAAGTAAGATGTGCATTATGATGGTAAATGGGCATGACTCACAAATCACTTGGATGTTTAAACGAGCCGATTCCGCCTGCTTCTCAAAGCTGCCTGTCGACGCAGAATTGCTTGCAATTTGTCATGCGCGGTATATCGTACATGAATTGAAGTTCCTACCGAATGAATCACAAATTTTCGAGAGAGATACGCAGTTCATGATACTAAGGTAGTTTCGGCTTACTTTTGAGCACAAATGAGCTGTTAATGATTTTGGAATAAATGCCAGTATTGCCAAGTCAGCTGTATAGGATTCTATGCCATGAATTCTCTAATTTTTTATAGAATTCCTTTTGCTTTCCATCGTTCCTCAAGCAACAAGTATGATTCTCTCAAGGGAGGAGGTAGAGTAAAAGGATGCATGAGAGGTCTTAACTCTCCATTTTAAGAAAAAGTTATCCCGATTTTCCGAAACACACGCGCGATATCTAAGAAAGATAAGAGCTGATTTTCCCATTTTCAAGCTCTATTTTTGCATTCGACCAACCAGACCAAGCTTAACAGAGACGCACGGGGTTGTGTTGTGGAAAAAATGAGTTGAAGGTACTTCAGGGTTGTCATAATTTCTTCATCTCCGGATTTTCTGACTTTCTATGACTTTTCCCCGACTTTTGCTTTTCCCTGGTTCTAAAATTTTCCATTTCCCTGATTTTTCCTGATCTTCTGACCATACTTCTACCTATTGTTTTTTTCTTCTTTTTTATTAGATACGCTGACTTTTGCTAAACCTTGGGCACAATTTTCTTGTTTAAAGATCAAATCGCACGGAAAAAGGCATTCAGTAGCTGGTTTAAAAATGACCAGAAAGGGTAAACAGTTGGAAAATGATTGATATGTTTCAGTGGTTAATAGATGCGTCAACAATGGGTCACTAAACCATGAACGAATTTTGACTTGCGAATGTTGTTTCCTGAAGGAAAATGACGCGTAGAACACGATGCGCACATTAAAAACGCGAACAAGTAACTCAATGACCGAGAAATGCGCAGTTCAAATCGCTCAACTTATACGCAAATTTAAAACGCCCCGGTTTCGCGCCGCGCCGAATGATGTCATCCGGCACCAATCAGAAGCGGGCACGGGTTTCCACGACTTCCGTCAAATGTCTATCTACTCTTCGTATATGAAAACAGTACTAAAGTCGAAATTATATCTTTTGAATTCAAGACTTGAATCTCAATCATATGTTAGCTGTAATAAACAAGCAACAATTTCATATTGAAACACGTTTTATTTTGACAAACATCAGAGGAAAATGAGAGAAGATTGCGATATGACTACCGCAGTGCGTCAACACCGTCAGTTTCCCGCCATTCGGGTGCGTTTGAAATGTCTTGCAGTTTTTAGATTTTTCAAAAGCGGGTTTCTCCGCGATTTCGGCTCCATAAAAATGCGAAAAAATCACCACGTTATCTACTCACATTGTACTTTCAGAATATTCAATAAAATAAACAAGGTTTAGTGACCCATTACCTGACTTTTCCCACAAATTCCCTGATTTTCCCGGTTTTCCAGACTGCTGGCAACCCTGTTACTTAGGTACTTTTGCATTCCCCTTCCTAGGCGAACAATGCTCTTATCAAAGCAAAATATTTAAAGCGTGAAATTAGGCGCTAAAATTCGTCATTGACATTGAGTTTTACTTCATGAATGAATCTTCGAACCTGTTTCTTACGGCTCGTACTTGATGTTAATATCGAAAATAAGAGTGCGTTACCCAGTTTTATTCGCATAACTTTATACCTGATGGATCCTTTTACTTTCGCATCCTCGCCCCTCCCCCCTTTCCAGGTGCCTTTACATTTGTTTTGCCATTTTTCGAGTGCCTTCAGATTGCTCCGCGATCTTTATACGATCGGCCGATCGAGCACTTGTCTACTCTCCTGACTGTTAGCCACATTCTCCCTAAAAATGCTATGTCAGGTGAGTCCATCGTCGGTCTAACTCATTTCAAACGAGAAACGCGCATGCGCAGGCTATAAAGACAGCAAAAAACTCACCTATTCCAATGCACAAGACAGGCGACAGGGACGATCCAGTTATCTGCACGGTGCCGAGCAACAGATCACCGAGCAGCAAACAAGCCACATGGTTGGTCTGACACCTCCAGTGCAAGACATGGTAGGTGCTGGGCAGGAGGCAGCTGGCCACCAGAGTGATGGCCAGGAATATCGCCGAGAGGAACAAGGCGTACGGGTAAAGGGAGTAGCTGAGATCCAACTTGGTCTTGAACTTGGACGGACACGTGAAAACACTGGCTTTATCCTCGGGTTTCTCGAGGATCTTCTCGACACAATATTCACTGATCACTGTACCGTTGGAGACGCTCAGCGTCCCGTCGATATTAAGCGCGTGCGAATCGTCCAGGGTCCCGCTGATGTCGAAGCTCTCGTCATCCTTGCAGCTGGGGAACCCGGACGTGATGACCGTGTTCTGGAGGAAGTTCCGGAGGATCTCGTTGTCGGCCGGCACATCCACGCACGAGAGCTTTCGCTCGCTGAACACACCACTCTTCCCGCAGCACTTCCGGACGCGCGTCTTCGTCGACGACCCCTCGCTCGGGGGCTGGGCCTCCTCCACCTTATCCGAGCACAGGAGGACGGCCGTGGAGTCGACACAGAAGGTGTCCGGGTGGAACATGCTCCCCGAGTTCTGCCACCAGAGGGAACCGTTCTCGAAGGAGACGTAGTTGGGGGTGGGCGAGGTGCGGAGGAGCAGGGGGCTCCCGAAGGGACAGACCGGCTTCCGGACGGTGTTGAAGGTCCAGCTGGACGGGATGGTGCCTGGCGGGAGGAAGCCGCGGTTGACCGGCGAGTAGATGGCCGGCGCCCAGCTGGAGGACCGGCCGCTCTCGACGCAGTCGGCGTTTTCGTTGAGGACGGAGCCGTCGTTGCAGCACTTGAAGACGGTGACGGCGAGGACGCACGGGACGCTCAGGAGGAGCGCCCAGAAAAAGGCGCGAAAGCACATTGTAAACACGAGTTTTCACGGGAGCGCGGGCATCGGGGCGGCACAGACCGTGCGACGGGGGATCAGCGCGCAGACTGCCGGCCGGAGCTCCGCTCCGCTTTGTCCGAGGCTCGTCTCCGGCGGGGCCCGGGCGCGGGGTGGGGGGAAAGAATCCGCCGAGAGAGAAAGCAGTATTTTACCACTTCCAGCTCTTTCTTGACCGCCACCGTGCCGTGCCGCGCCAGCGGGCCATGCATTTTTTGTCATTTTTTCCTTTTTCTTCTTCCTTGTTCTTACCTTAATCTGCTCCCGCTCTCACGCGCATCTTGCAGTCCACCATGCACCCTGTATGAGCCCAATTAATGCATTTTTTTTGGGTGGCCCGGTTTCAGGAGCGCTGATGCGGGGTGATAAGAGGCCAATGCTGTCGTGGTAAGGTAAAACGCCGTATGAACATTCGAGAGTTGCCAAATTTCCTTCGATACAATGTTTACTTTTTAGGAAAGTTATGAATATTTTTCCTTTAAATTTTCAGAATCGTAGGTAAAATTGCGAACTAAATTATCTAAAAAATTGGGAGAAAAATATCCATTAATTCACCAGGAAATTCGCGTTTTATCAAAGGAAATTTGGCAACGCCTGAGGGTTCATACGGCGTTTTTCCTTAGCACGGCAGAATGGGAGTACCTAACTGTATTGAATCGTGGTCAAAATTCCTGATCACATTGAGTTTGCTTTTTTTTTTTTTACTTTTGCATGGTAGGAGATAAGATGAGATGATTCACAATTTTACCATAGAACACTCAAGCATACAAAATGTTGAAATGAAAGCTTTCTCAAAAGAATTTAGCTTCATGGAAGTGCAATGTGATGAACCATGGATGGCTGCATTAATCTTGGAATCCGCTCCCCTCTCACCCTGAGCTATTAAAAAACAGTTTGTGGGTTCAATATCAATATCATAAGATTATAGAATGATAATTTTTTACTGATAGTGATAATGAAGCACTTATAACCCTCATAACACATTATCTTAATGTTCAATCTAAAAAAGCTCCACGCGCGGTTGTTATCTTCATTTGTAGAGGCTTTCTTAGAGGTACAGTCTATGAGGGCTGATAGACCCGAAACTGATGATTAAATGTAATACATAAAAAAAAAAAAAAAAAAAAAAAAAAAAAAAAAATTATTGCGTCGGATGATTTCAAATAATACGAACTGAAGAACTCACGTAAATCAATAAATACAGCAAATATAATTCCAACAGAGGCAAAATATTGCAAAACTTGCACTTGTATTCTTAGTCGTCTATGCTCAAAGGCGCTTTTCGAAAGAGTTCATCCGACAGGTTAACACGTTGGCCATAAAGAGAGGAGCGCGATTTTCCAAAAGTCGCCGTCAGTTTGCCTTCAGTTTATAGATTAGGCAACCTGAGCTCCCACGTGGTCGAATAGTGGTATCATTCCCAGATGTCTCGCTCACTCGAGGAGGAAAGTAGGATAATTCACCGAGCGTGGCATGCGGAACGGTGACTGTGCCGCACAATCGGTTTGCCTTCAATTTTCAGTGTAGGCAACCCGAGCACCCACGTGGCCGAATAGTGGTATCACTCTTAGATGTCGCGATTGCTCGAGTAAGGAAAGCAGGAATACCCCCAACCAGGACGTATGGCGTGGAGCGATGGCTGTGCCTCGTTTTTTTCTTGTTTCTTTTTTTTAAATTTTATTTTTGTGAGATATTTTGCTGCTTATCACTCTGAAATCACTCCATGGAAAAATTCATCTTCCTAAATTGCAATTGCGTATCAAGGTAACTGCATATGATTATGAAACAATTGACACATAGATAATAAAGACAAATAAAAAATTTACACGCATAATTAAAATTGACTAACATAATAGGGATTTTTCGTGAAAACCAAACCTCTATTTTCCCTTGGTGGGGTCTTGGTCCTCTGTGCAAGTAATTTTTACTCAGAATAATTTTTAAAGAGATTCCAGCGCTTTTGTTGGTCACTCTATTCTCCTCTATTTTTTCAAATTTTAATCGCCATCCCTTCAGCCGAGCCTAACTGGACCGCGTTTATCAGAAAGGAACCAAGCCACACCAGCTATTGCCAAATTTAACTAGGCAATTTAATTTTTCTAGAAGAGAACGTTTAAGCGAATTCTTTTGGAAATTTCAAGGAATTTGCTTCGAACAATGCAGAAAATTCACTGAAGATTGCCAGAAAAAAAAAATCCGCACAATCGTATTCATGTAAAAAATTAAATCGCCAAATTAAATTTGGCCATGGCTGATATGACTTGGTTCCTTTCTGCTTAACGCGGTCCATTTAGCCTTGAATTCGGTCTCTGCCCGGTGATCGTCCCCAAAAAATTGTGCAAATTTGTTTGCAACTTTACTCAGAACCAGAACTCACTGATACACCCGCAAATACGAGTATTCGGCGCAGACTCATCTGGCGTCAAGCCAAAAATTTCCACCGCAACACGAGATCGTCTAGGAGTCTGCTGATGGTGTGTGATTTCATTGTGTGTTCTTCCCTCCGAAATCGGGGCATCGGGTATTGATGAGTTCCCGGGTGAGAAATGAGACGGGTCAGCTCCGGGGCTCCAGGCTGGATCTTGTTCTGAGGTGAAAAACAGGCCTCCGGACGCACGGTCAATGGCCGTCCTGGCCCCAGCCCCCTCTGGTCAGCAGGTTACGGGTCTACGAGGAAGGTCGTAACTTTGGGGTGAGGTGACATTAACACTCCAGCGTTGTCAGTCTGCACCAGATCGACCCATGACCTCACGCTGCACGACGCGTTACATGATGGTTTGATTGCCCCCTGGAATAAACAACCTCTTCTCGAGGATGTTTCTCCGAAAAAAAAGAAGTTTTAAAAAAAACTCAAATCAGCTTTAACAAGTAATTAACCCTCAATGCATATAACTGCAGTCACCTCTATTTCTTGTTGCATATTAATTGGACCGCGTTAAACAGAAAGGAACCAAGCCACATCAGCTATTGCCAAATTTAATTGGGCAATTTAATTTTTTACATGAAAACGGTTGTGCGGATTTTTGTGTAAATTTCAGTGAAAATTTTCCATGGTACGAAGCAAATTCCTTAAAATTTTCAAAGAAATCCGAACAAACGTTCTCTCGTAAAAAAATTATTTGCCCAGTTAAACTTGGCAATAGCTGATGTGGCTTGGTTCCTTTCTGTTAAACTCAGTCCAATTTTCAATGTGAGAGGGGTAAAAGAATAGATTTGTAGAAAAAAACCTAAACTTAGGACAACTCTTTTTCCAATTTGTACTTTTTTCTATCTTTGCTTCCCTCTTGGAAAAGTGTGGACCCCGCATCATCCTACCATCACGTTACTAACTATTTTAGCATTTAAGTTGAACTTTACTGCATGAACACGAAATCGTACAAATGGTGTTAGACATAGTTTGGCGGAGAACGATTTTTGAAGGTATCCTGAAACACAAGTCTTCTGTTAGATGACTATTAAAACATGGGAGTATGTGTTCTAGTCTACCTCGAATATTGAAGGCCAAACAGAATGTACGTAACTCCTAAACCCGTTTCGCATCAATTCTGATCCTCGTGAATCCTAAGTTATAAAACGCCCTTGAGTTAGTACATCTTGGATGGGGTAAAAATACATTTCACCTCTCTGTCTGATTCTGCGCTAATCTATTCAAGCACCGTTTTTCCTCCGTCTGGTCTGAGGTCTTCCATCATATCAATAATCCTCGAATATTAGGTTACACTCCGCTAAATCGAGAGAGCAAACAATCAAATCATCATTTGGAATCTATTGAAACAGATTTAAAGAGGCAGTTCTCGAGTAGGAAAATTAAATAACTCGCCGATCCGATACGTATTTCGAATTAGTCATAGCTGTCGGCGGCCGGGCAATTTCTCCTCGGGGCCCCTAAATCCTTTGATCGAGGTTGTGGCTGGGATATTGAGGATCCGCACCCGTGGCGGGAGGGATTTACAGCGCTGCCGAGTGTATCAAGAATTCAAGATTGACTCAATTTTTGTAAAGATAATGAGTATTTTGAGAGGTACTTTAACTCCTCCAAGAAAGGAGGGAGAACAAAAAAATTTGAGAAATTAAAAAATTGTCAACCTTGTCAGCCAACTCTGAAGCGTAGAGAAAGAAGAGGAACTGTTTCTGTAAACTTTTTCAAAAGCAACCATTGTAGTTGGTTCTTTCTAACCAACCCTGAAGCGTGGAGGAAAAAAGAGTATATGTTTTTTTTAAACTTTTCAAAAGCAACTCTTGTACTTTGTCCTTGTCAACCAACTCTGAAGCGTAGAGGACCTTCACGCGCTAGACCTCAGTAAATCTCATGGTTTAAATTTGAAACAATGTTTACCAATTTGAAAAAAAACCCGTTTTATGCTAAACGATTTAAGGAAGACAATGCTCTATCAATTGTGAGGCACCTCGAATGTATACCATCCTGGAGGGGAGATCTCAAATACCCCCCCCCCCCCCTATTTTCGTCATTAAATCATTATTTTTTGTGAAAATATGCTTGAATCTTAAGATAATTAAAGTTACTCCTTTGATTATCTAATTATATCACTACATGCATGCAAAATTTATGGTTGAAAGTCCTAAATATGAAAATAAAAATTATTGTTTTATGAACTTTAATTTTGACTTAAGAATAGTTATTGTCTTTGAAGTGCGAAGTAAGTCGACTGTCGCTGAATAATGCAGTTTTTCCGTGAAGTAACTCACAATCCTCTTAGAAACAAAAGGCCAATTTTTTATAAAATTGTTAAATACCATTCGTTTTAGTGTATTCCTTTTATTCAGTTCTGCGGAGCATATCATTTTATTTATCCTATCTTTTATCATCGTTACTTTAAGTTCTTTGACCCCCTAGATTTTCGGTTTTTGGTACAGTCCGTTCTACTGTTCTGGTCAATTTCCATAATTTTTGTAGCTATCGACATGAGATAGTCCCTGGACGATACCGGTACCCCGCCGTTTAGATTAATTCTCGGGGGCCCGCGAAGCGCCTTCTGGGGGTCGGGCCGCGTACCTCTAGGAAATTGAAACTAATCGCTCACAAATCATTGTAAA